GAGACTGTTGGTGGTCCCTAAAGACTTTGTAAAGACCAGACTGAGATGACAAGAACTAAAAGTACAGAAAAGCCTATAGCGAGCTGTATGGAGTATTAAAAGCACTCTGTTGTCTCCGTCCCATCAGGTTCCCGTGTGGTCGGTGGCTTGGTAAAGGTGTGGATGACGGCAGCCTGGAGAGGGTTCTGATCGGAGAGCTGGTACTGCCCAGTGGAGAGGAGGATTCTGGGAGGGGCTGCCGTACGCCCCCGCTACAGCGCTCGCCATCCCAGACCAGACGCATCAGCATCACGTCTTTGTCTGGACGAGGATCCAGTCAGTACCCGTCACCATTCACATGCTGCTCTGAGAGCTGAGGACCTGCTTCATAGAGGAAGCGGGTCCAGCTCTGATAGGTGTCACCTCACAGCTGTAGGCCCACTGATAGCTGAAATGTTCTAGTCGTAGTATTTTAAGTAGACTTTACAGTAAAAAAACAACATCTGATTTTAGAGGGGTAGTCAAGGTCATCCAATACCTTACGAGAAACCTCAGAAAGCTCTTGAAAATGTTATTATTGGTTGGAATTGTTCTTTATTCTCTCAATTCTGTTTGATTAATGAGAGTAAGGGGTGCTGCTCATGCTGGCTGACCCGACAGTTTCTCCCTCCTGTTCTTGGACGGGATGTAACTGTGAAAGTAATTTCTCTGAAAAGGGATCAATAAAGTTCTATCTTAATACCAAAACAATAAACCATAAAATAAGCTTATTTTGCTGAAACACCCACGTTCTCAATATAAAAGCCCTTGTAACTCTTTTGTGTGGTAGCTGCTTGAATGTAATCTTAAAAATCTTTATTTCACGCTGAGTAGCTGCTCATGTAGACGTCACAATACCAGGGCTAACGGGTCCAACTGAACACACGTTTTTATGTGGGAAAATTACTAAACAACTGCCATATATTCAGGGTGAGAACAACTTTAAAAAAAGTGTTCCAAAAGTTTTTTTAATTTCTTTAAATGCTGTACTACTTTGTAGTAAAAAGGGGACTTGGATGGTACTTTTCTGCACTACAAAGCAACGCTAGTATTTCTAGAATTCTAATTTCACATACACACTAAAACAGCATCG